GCCTGAAAACCTCGATTCAAATTCAGCACTGGAAAATGATTTGAAACTTCACATAAAACGTCCCAAAAAAACATGTGAATAATTGCAGGGCGATGTCCTTCCTTCTCCCCGGTTCTGAAGCAGAAGACGTGGAATGATTAGCGGGGAATACCAAGGCTGACTGGGATCACAAGGGGCTGGTGGAAAGCAGAGAGACAACACTATACAGGCAAAACCACTGCCCAAGTCCTTTCACTCATAACCTGGGCAAAAAATGGGTCGTGCTGCACAAAGCCCAGCAAGGGGGTGTTTTGTCACTGGCTTTCATTTCCACAACTGGAAACGTCAGCGTGAGACCGGGATGCGTTCACCAGACACAGCGTGCCAACGTGTGGGAAAGGGAAACTCAGAAACTGCCAGGAGGACAGAAGTTAGACCAGTGCCGAGGGCGCTCGGGAGAGTGGCACGGCGGTACTGGTCTTAACGCCAGTGAGAGGCGTATTTATAAATCCAAGGGGTGACTTGACCTCCATGACTCGTTGGCTCCAGCACCAGTGAGCGGCTGCCTGCGCAAAGCCCGGCCCAGGAGGGAAAACGAGACCAGCAGCGCCCCCAGGAAACTCGCAGGCCCCACACCTTGCGTCCACAAGCTCGTCTGCAACAATGCATGTTTTTTTTTTTTATTAAAACGCCCATTCAAATTCCTTGTCAAGTGCTCAGGGACACAAGCCCAGTGGACAGCGGAGCCGTCAGCTCCTGACAGCCCCAGTTCCCACAGCAACCCCAAAACGCGTGCGGCTTCCCTGTTGCTGAGCCACTTCGCTCAATGGGCTTCCTGCAGCACATAGAGCAGAGCTACAAGAATAGCCGAGCACCGCCTGTGGGTCCAGATCGCTCCATGAGCTCTTCCCAAGCCAAGGGAAGTTTACCTTTTAGACCTCTGCAGGTTTCTTTTAAAACGTACAGCTTGGAAATCTGATCCCACCCCACCATACAAACTGGGCTGGGAAACTCAGGGGTGTGGCTCACTGGGGTAGCTGGCTTGTACCCAGGGAATGGCAGAATCCCATATCCTCACACGGAGAGGCCTCACCAGCTAATGAACTTGCTGTCATTCAAACTTGGAAATCCACTTACAAGCCATAAAAAAAAAAAAACGGAGACATTCAAATGACACGCCAAGCATGCGAGAACATTTTGCTCTCTGACCGCAGAGTCGCAAGAACCCCCGGCTGATCTGAAAAATGCAGAGCCCCATGATCACATAGATCAGGAGACTCCAAGCATCTGCAGTTCTTCCCTGATCTCCAGCCTCATCTCTCTCACTGCTCGGGGTTAAAGGTTTCTTAGAACTTTGGGAAAAAGTTCTCCCCTCCCCCTCCTCCCCAGTACACCAAAAACCTGAGCAAAACGAACAAGCCCTTAACACCTTTGACACTAAGGTGCCACCTGAGACCTTGGTCTTTTTCCACTTACTGCGAAAGCAGAGATGAAGCCATGATTGCGTGTGTATTCAGGGGAAAGAAAGAAGGAGCCAAAACATTTTTTGGGTTGACAAGGCTGCTAATTCGATCGCGTGATTCCCGGGATCTCTGCAGTTCAGTGGATTTTGCGTCGTTCAGTGCCCGCTCTGACTGACTCCGAGTCGTGGCGCCCAGGAGCTGAACGATAGCGTTCACCTGCTCCATGCGCTCGTGTTGGATGGACACTTTGAAGCCTCGTCCAGTTTACGACCCCGATTTCTTCATTTTGCCTTTTCAGCGGGAGAGGCGAGGCTGCCGAACGGTAGCGTTCCAGCTGGGGTCTGGAGGAAACGTGGAGAAACCTAGCAAGAGCCCCGGTCCTCGGCAATGCCAGAAGGCAGGTCCTAGTGAGCGGAATAAGTAGGCAACAGCTGCCCATGCTGCCGGAGAGAGCGGTAGAAAAGAAAGTCAAGCCCTGTGGGTAAAACGAGTGGATAATTTAAACGCAGAGCAGCCCAGACTAGACTCCATGACGATATTTGCCTAGAAGGGATGCATATTAGACACATTGAAGCTAATGGCCAAATCAGAATTTTAGAAGAGTCCAACTTCTTATAAACACAGATTTGAAAAGCTAAAGCTGTTAGGTATGACTGGTGGTGATTGGTCTTAAGGAAGAGGAAGGAGGGGGGGGGGGGGGGAGGGTGTCCTGTTTCTTGCAGATGGTTCTAGGGACAGGGGGAAGGGGGCTAAAGCAGAAAATGGGATTTGATGTAGCAAGTTTCGCATTGTTTATACCCTGAAAAAAGAAGAACAAAAAAAAACGCTCAAGCCGTATCAGACTGGAGAGGAGCGGTGCATGGTGGGAAGGTCTGCTCAAGTAGCACAGAGCAAAGCATCACATGGCAGCTGTGCAGAGTGACCAGTGGACTTCAGCTACAAACAGGAAAAGCTGTTTAATGTGTGCTGGAGCCCAGTAAATTATTTTCCCTGGTTGCATGTTTAGAATCTCTTCTCCTAATCCATGAACTGCCTCTTTGGAGGAAATATCTTACATAGCTATTGAGCAGCAGGACAGGAGAACACAGCATTTAAAGTCTGCTTCAATTTAGGTAGCTGGTGAACTTTGTCCACCAAGCCAATGCCCAACACTGGCTGTATTCCTGCACAGCACTGCATATCAGCGAAATGAGGAGCAGTATCTATTCAGGCACGTCTTTAAATCAAGGCATGCTGAGCAGCCGAAAAAGACTGCTCCCACCTCAAAGGATCAACAGATAAGCAGCTACTCTGAGAATCTGTGTGCAAATCCAGATTCTGTGCCATAATCTTCAGAAATCCTTGCATGTTCGTCATACCTCAGCACGCCACTCCCTACCAACAAGGGGTGGGGAGGGGGCAGCTCACACAGTATCACTAGACAAAATATCAGGTTTTTGTTTTATTTCATTAGACAAAATCCGTCTCTCTCAAAGAGTTTCACGCCGGCATCGCATTACAGACCGATGCACATAAATCATCTAATGGGGTGAGCTGTCTAGGCCACTGAATCCCTTGCCAAACACACCCCAATAATCACCCCACAAACAAGTCACCTCTTGACAACATGCTGGCCATCATTACACGCAACCAGATCTGTCCAGCACGTCTCCGCGCCACGAAGCATGCTGGGAAGCTATCTGCTGGATTAAAGCATGAGCCACACCTGGGTGGAAGCCTTTGCTTTCACTAGACTGGCCTACCAGGAGAGCCTGTTTCTACTGGTTAACGTCTAACACCGCCAGCTAACAGAGCAAATGTAACAATTCAGAACTGGCATGGAACTGTCTCTCTTGAGAGCCTGTTCATGGACAAGGAGTGCCACTTGCTGTTTTATCAGGAGACTGTTTCAGTCGTTTAAAAATAAAAAAACCCAACCAGAGAAAGAAAAAACAGTCAATAGTATTTTAGGGAACAAACTTTGGCAGGAATGAGACCCTTGTCAAGCACGGTGCAAAAGGACAGCCTTTTTGAAAGGACTTCCGATACCTACAGAGAGCACTTTATCAAATCTGACAGACACCTGGCTTTGCAATTCCTCTGCATACTTCACATACTTCACCATAACCACTTCCCTCTGAAATGCACAGACAGACTTGGTTTTAAACAAGGAAAAAGTCATTCTGCAAGATGACGAAGCCAGCAACACTGTTATCCTCACATGGTCTTAAGATTGAATAAGGAAGAACTACAACCGAGCTTCTACTTGACCTTTAAATTCCTGGAAGATAAATGAAAGACACGACAAAAGATTTAGTTTCAATAGCACAGTCTGTAACTTCACAGAAGGCAACAGGGCTAAGCACAGTCTTTGTTTTTAAGTGTTGACATTTTCCAAGTCTGGTATAAAATCATTTTATGTATGAAAAAGTAGCCCAGTGGAAACAAGCCTATATTATGGTTTCAGAAAGGTTATGCTCCTCTTTCATCTCAATCTGTACCTGGAACAAACACATGGCACCGAGGATGCATTATGTCTGCTCTGTCTTTATTAGCATTAAGGCTATAATCTTTTCAAATGTAACCTATTATATTTAAAATAAAATTCAAGTAACTGAAGGCCATTGACATTTTTCTTCACAGTGGATCTGACTTGACAGCTCAAATCTCTGCCCTTACAACTAACAACATTATGATTCAGCCACAACAGCTGCTGCAGACTGGCAGGCTGTGACCACATGGCATTTGCAGCAATGATCACAACTGAAAATCACACTACAGGTCGATTTTGCATCCAAGACCGATGGGTAGGACTGGGCAGGACCCACCAGGAAGGCTGAATCTATTGCGTTAGTCTCACCAGGTCCACCACCTGGATCAGTGTCTTGCAACTGGCAGACCTATTAGGGCAAAAACTAGTCCTCTGGAGAAGGAATTCCCTCCTATATCTATACAGGCCTTGCTGTGTCGGGGCTCATGCCATTTCCTACAATCATCTATATAGAAAGAGCCATGTGATTTTTTTTTTTGGCATGGAGGCAAGTCCGTTTATCATGAACCTGCTGGGCTAACGATACATAGCTCACACTTTTGCAACAGGTCAAGAAACTGGCTGCTTCCTTGCTACATTTTAACATGATGTTGCCATGCATGCCTGATGCATCTCAGTCCCGGGTTCCCCTTTCTCATTTCCACTACCTGGCTCCCGTCACCTCTAACCCACCTCACCCTCGTACACCTCTGAACTCCCTCTCGTGGGCTCCAGTAAGCTGAGGCTGGTCCTTTACTCACTGTGCCTTGAAGGCAGACCTTCCCTTCCCGCAGACTGCATGAAAGACAAATTCTCCGACTCAAATCTTAAATCAAAGCTGATCTCTCTCCTAAAGCCCACTCCTTGTGACATGACCTACATTCCATCTGTTTGAACTTGTATGCTCTTGTTATTTTTTTTTTCCTTATTGTACTCATTTACTCCTTTTCTTATCCGCTACGTACAGCCTCACTGGGTTTGGAAAGGCGCTTTAGGGATCACTCAGGACCGCTCGGCCTCCGAGCCCCCGGAGGCAGGACAGCGCTTACCGCCAGGCCTGTAGACGACGTCGTCCTCTGTGATGAAGGAGGTGATCTCTCCGTTCTCCGTGCGCTCGTACTGGGACTTCTTCTTGGGCGGCTTCTTCTTGCTCTTCTTGGTGGACTCCTCGGTGGTGGCGCTGGCGTTGTCGTTGTCCTCGTCGTCGCTGTGGTCGCTCTCGGCGTAGTTCCTGGCGCCGCCCTCCAGCGTGCAGCTGCGGCGCGGCCGGGAGCTCTCGTTCTCCCGCGCCTTGTCCCGCTTGTCCCGGTCCCTGTCCCTGTCCCGGTCCCTGTCCTTCTCCTTCTCCTTGTCGGCCGTCATGATTCGCCACGTGCCTTCCTCCGTCCTCTCACGGCTGGGCCTCCGTGAAAGGTAGACAGTGAGCCTGGGCTTCAGTCTTCTGAATTTACCACTCAGATCCAGGAAAAATTCAGCCACACCAACAACCCCAGTGTTTCAGAAGAGCTGTAGCAGGAAGAGGGACAGAGAAACAAGCGGGTTAAAACCAGTGAAAACCACTCTTGTCTGGACCACAAGAGCACGATCCTTCATCACGGACAAGTGAAGATGGGGGGGGGGGGAACAGGGCAGGAGGAAAAGATAATCACATGCAGGAAGGAGTGTCTAGGGCTCCGTGACAAACCGAAAACCAGGACTACTGAAAAACCAGAACACAACACGCATGGCTTCTCAGTTCAGTTTTTTTTTTTTTGGAGCTGGACATCTCTATACATCAAGCAGGGAGCTGCGCCAGCATGCGTAGGCTGCAAAGGAACAAGTAAAGGTTTATTCCCAGATGAAAATAGAAGAAACAACATTTCAGCCGTGGAGCCTTCTTTGGGTGTGTTCTTTACCTGTTCCTTTGCATTTCTATATATGTTTCCACAACTTAAAAAAAATAAATGAAACAAAAAAAAAAAATGCAAGCCTCGTTTGCAAATCCCTGGCGCACACACACCGAAACGTTCCCTACATGGGAGCCAGGCGAGACTCCCACTGTGTAAACTCCCAAAACATTCTGGAGCCGGCTTGCTCGTGATCTCGATCAAAAGTTTTTCCTCGTCTCAGAGCTTCATTTTTCCTCTCCCGCCTCGAGCAAAATAAAACGAAGCCCAGCAATGCCTACAAGACAGTCTCCCTACAACAGCCACGACACAGTAAATTAAAATGCTTAAGACAGAGCGAGTTGCTGGGCTTTGGAATTCATCTGGAATGGAGAGATTACATCCTGTGCCGAGAAGGAGCCTCAGTGGACTCTGTAACAATTATGGCAGGTGCATCTCTCCGCCTTAATATGAGGAAGCAGATCCCCCAGAGCTCTGCTCTTTGAGGTCAATTTTCAGTGCAAGCTTTCGTATTACTGAAAGGATCTAAAAATCACGTTAAAGCAGCCATTTTCCCACACACAAGGCCTCACAAAATTAGGTTCAAAAACCAAAGCTCGAATCTATTTTTAAAAAGCAGCACCCTACTATTGAACCCTGGCTTGCGTCTCTGGTTCATTAGGAATGCCCCATCCATCTCAGAGCTGAAGAAGTACAAATGAGGTTAGGAGGAGCCGACCGGATGCCAGTTTTCATTTCTTTGCGCAAGGCAAACCACACCTGTGATTACGGCACTTGCGCGAGACCAAACCCAGCAATCACCTCGGATGTTTACGGAGACGGATTTAGAAAACGGGGGGCCAGAAAGAAGAAAGGGACAGAGGCACGAGAAGACGAGCGTTTGAAAAACACGCTCAGAGTGCTTCTTGGCAGCCATGGCAATAACATTACTCACTGGCAGCCTGTCATCTCCAGTGTGGAGAGCAGCTGCTTCTGTCGTCATACATAATACAAATAATACCCCCTGATTACAGCTCTGCAGGTCAACCAATATTAATCACCTAATGATAAGTTACCCAGGCGCCCAGCAGGACTTTTCTTGCACGTTCGTTGTTGCTCATTGAGGACGAGACAAAAAAAAAAGCCTATCCCAGTCCTGTAACAGGCCAAAAACAGACCGGACTGATGGCAGGGCGCTGAGCTCCTGGCTGAAAGGTTGATAAACACACGAGCTCCGCTCCACAGCAACATTTGATACAGCTGATCACAAAATACAATATAAAGCGACTGTTGGCGATAATGCGGGAAGTCTGGACCCAATTGGTACCTCCACACCAAACAGCCGGGTGACAACTGCCTGCCAGCTGGGAACAAGCATCCCAGTGCCCACTCACAGCATGGCTCTCTGAAAGCTGCAGCACTGCTACAAATAAGCACTGACACTTATTTTTTGATAATTAAACTTGACACTCGCTTCCTGGAACAAATGGCCAGTGTGTTAACACGGGAGAAGTGAAACATTCAAAAAAGTATAGTTTTTTTTTTTTTTTTACTTGCCAAGTGTTGTAAATAGCCGCACTGCAGAGAGTGGATGTGAATGCTTGCCTTCAGCTGTATGAATGACTCTGGACCGAAGCCGCCACCTCCCCCCACCGACTGCCTGCAGTTTTAAAAGCATTTACACCCCAGACCATCCCAGAGTGCTGCCCCCACCCAGGTAACACTGCAGCCATTCTGCACCAGCAGCTCCACTACAGAGCAGATCTGGGGGAGGAGCGAGAAACCGCTCCAGCACTCCATCTTTAGAGGGGGAAATTTTGGGGAGGCCAGGCTCTGCAAACCCAACGAGTTACAAACTTCGCCAGGGCACTCTTCACCCTACTTTTATGAACAGTGCTCTGCGATTTTTAATGACTAATTAGTTAATCAGACGTCCTGAAATCTCATGAGAAGGACCGCACTTCCTACATTACAGTATGCCCCATGTCAGCCTACCGGGTTATCGATTTGTGACTTCTGGTGTGGGGGGGGGACACTGCCTACTGCCCCAGCAAAAAATCTGGTTTGCCCCCGATCAAACCAGTACTAACGGGGCTGTATCAAACGCAAATGCAGCACACACCAAATAAAGCAATTTGTATTTCTTTCTTTCCAAGACAGGAGCTGTTGAGGGCTGGGGGAGGGCAAGGCAGGAATAAATGGAGCATTCAACACCACTCAGTCATGCCTCCTTGCAGGAAAAGTCCTGGAAATTGATTCAAATGCCTTGGTTGTTTGTTCCCCGTCTTCAAAAGGATTGGTCACACTTAACACCTCTAGCTTATGCTGTTGGCGCCGATTACTTATTGCAGCTTTTGTAGAACCTCTGTTCAGGACAAACCCCTAAACCTCTTCTTTGAGAAAGAGGCCAGCTGTCTTAAGGCATAAAAAAACCCAAATGAAAAGCTCCTGGGTATTCAAAGGCCAGTGCCTAACTTTACCAGTCACAATCCTTACTCACTAAAATCAAAAGGTGTGAGCAAAGAGTTTAGAGACAGATTCCTGAACCTACTCGAGGTTTGCCTTCCATTAAGAGGCCTGAAATAGGGCTTTCTTCATGTTATAAAGAGCCATATCTATATCCAGTGGTTGAAACAGGAATTTACAAGTCCCAAAATGAAACCTAGTAAAAATATTAGGGGGTGGGGGGAGATGTGAACGAAAAATTTGGAAGGACACACAGATGCAAACAATATAAAACCCGAACACTGGGGCTTTGTACAACATTCAGCGTGTTACATTTGGCACAAGTCGGGCACTGTTTCGAGAAGAACAGAAAGGGAGCCTAGAAAATAATAAACCACAGTAGAATTATTCAGTTTTATATTCACCACGATGAAGTCACTGTCCACTGCTCTAACAGCTCAGGCGGACGTTTATGAGTTTCGTACTTTGGAGAGAGCAGTTTGCACAGCGGGCGTGCAGTCAGGTGACCACAGCACATGAGGGCCTGTTTACAGCGCACTACTTGAGCAGACGTGGAATAAACAACTCGCCTAATTACAGTACAGAGGAGCGCTTATCAGCCGTCTCCCCAGCGCTGAACAGGGCCTGGCGAAAGTACAGTCAGTGGGCGGACGAAAGCCGATCTCCCAACATTTTCCCCCAACAATACTTCCAGTCACGATGCCACATCTTTACAAAACAGTGCAATCTGACACCGTCGTAACACTGACTAACACTCCATTTTCATGCACTGGAGATCATTTCTCTGCTCTCGAAGTGTTCACGAGTGGGGGGGGGGTGGATGAAACGCTGTACACGTCTGTGCAGACTTTGGTCAGCGTGATAAGAGCGAGGAGGGTGACTAACATTTCAGCGGCAAGAGGCAAGCCTCTATCCGTCTGGGACATTTCTCCTCTCCCTAGTCCTTCAAACTCCCCAGCTGGAGCTGTTCACCACACACAGGTGCGGGTTTCGAGGGGAGCGGGGCAGGTTGTGACCATGACCAAACGGCAACAGGAAACCATAACCCTGTTGCTGTGCTCTGCATCTAGCAGCCTGGCCTTTTTTATCAGGTAAACTCGCTTATCTTCAGGCGTCAGCACGCAAAACCAGCGTTGCTGACAATGAAAACATTCTGCAAAGCGTCACTCTACACAACACACAGGCCCGCACAGAGGATCAAGGGCTGGCGATAAACCTCTCCGATTTCAGAGAAGAGGCACCCCTCAGTTTTCACTCTTTAATTTTTGACCAAACGCAAATGCTCACGAGATTTTATTCAAGCGCACCCTTTTCAGATAAGAAAGGCGATATACAAGTACCCTTTTCTACCACGTGCAGTCGTGTAAAAAAAAAAAAAGAATGAAACCCCACACTACAAAAGCCTGATGCTGTTTCTCTATCAAGTCAAAAATGCGGTTCACCGAGAGAGAAAAACAACACCAGGCCGTGCCAGGACAGAATAACTAAGTGTAAGAGCTGCGAAAACCTCAAACTGAGAATTATAAAATGTCAATTTTTGCGATCGCAGATGCTAGAAATGATTTTTAATCCGAGTTATTAAGTGAGAAAATATATGACTGCCACACACATTTGCACTGGCTTTCCGGAAGAGCTCCAGAGCGCCGAAATACTCTAAATTGATTAAAAGCAGAATTAGGCTAATCTTCCCCTCTTTCTTGGGACTGTTACAGGGACTGAACTCCAAGAATCTGACAAAAAGCCAAACCCATTACGTCAACTTGCATTTCACTGTGCATTTCACAAAGGCAAAGCAAGGGGCACTGCTGGAGAAGGAATTTATTCTTTTTTTAAACTAAGCTGGTTCCAGAACAGCGTTTCAGAACGCAGATGTCTGCCTCACTAGGACCGGCTCCAGTCCCAGTTTCTGTACTGTTCCATGCACTGACAACACAGGGCTTCTCCCTCACAGCCTGACCGGTGAGCCTAGTGTCCAGTCGAACAGTTGGGCACAGTACAGCACCTCCCACACGGGCCCACTGCGGGTCCACACAGGAAGCACAGGCTCCCAGCTCTTGTAATGAGTCCAAAAGCACTGGCCCCACAAGCAAATCACAAAGCCTTACAAACACCATTCCATCCACCACATTGCTTTGGTAGGCCTTTCTATGCTGGTGTTCGCTCAGAGGCCATGTC